AGAGTTAATGAATCAGTGTAATATGATAACTAGAAAAGCATATGAGTGTGTTTAATTATGTCGTCAATTGTAAAATGCACATGCCTCATGATTTGAATACTCATTTTTAATCCATCTAGATGATGCCAATATAGTTCCATTTATATTAAGAAATAGTGGGGGTGATATCCTGCCTACTATTCGAAATAATGGATAACTAGTGGGGGTGATGAATCTGAGTATGAACTCGGAAGAGACAAATGAACCATAAATCTCGAAAGGATTTTGGTTATGAACTTGTTATTTACACCCTAAGAAAGAAAGATCCTACAAGTCTGCTAGAAGTTCGAACTTCCATAAAGATGCAGAATTGTGGGAGAATCCATTATTAACGAAATGGAATTTGCGGAGTCTAATAAGACTTAAAATCTTGTAGAGTTACCTCTTGGTTGAAAAGCCTTGGGTAATATATTGCGGAGTCTAATAAGACTTAAAATCTTGTAGAGTTAGCTCTTGGTTGAAAAGCCTTGGGTAATATATCGATAGAATCGAACAAGATTTGGCATCTTTGAGAATTACCTCTTGGCAATGAAGTCATGGGTAATAAATGGATTCTTAAAAGAAAAGTGAAACCTATTGGTTTAGTTTATGAGTATAAGGATCGCCTAATAGCTAAGGCTTGAAGCGAAAAGGAAAAATTGTAAATTTTCTTGTTATCTATTCACCATATGTAGAATAACATCCATGTATGTTCTGATTGCTAGTGTTGTGCGTCAGATGGATTGTTAAACATGTTTATGTGAAAGGTGATTTAGATAGGAAAATCTACATGGGACAACCTATAGGGTTGTTATTCCTGAACATGCTTAGGGAGTCTATTTTAGACAAATCATTGTAAGATTTGAAATAGACTCTAAGACGATGACATGAATAAAATGGTTCTCTCCATTGGTTTTAAAAGTGAAAGTGACAAGTGCATTTAGTACAAATTTGAGAATGACATTTGCATTATGAATGACATGTCGATCTTTGGTACAAAGACTCGTAATGTCAATATTGAAAAACCATGATGGTTGAGAATTTTGAATGTGAATGATCTGAATGAAACAAATGTTATGCTTAGAGATCCTAATAACTAGGAAAATACAAGATGTACACCTGCATACATGTTTGATGATGCTCGTATAAATATTTAAAGAACACCTAAGACGATGTAAGAAAGTTAGAATATACTAGCATTTACAGTCTGCGAGAGGCAACTGATAAACATGAGACCCGATTTAGTGGGGGGGGGGTACTTGGTAGGCTTACTGATTGTCCTAGTATGAAGCATTGAAATGCTATTGAAAGGGGTCATGAGACACCTTAAAAGAACAGAAAAACCTTGGTATTTGTTATCAAAGGTTTTGCTATATTGGTAGGGTATAATGATGCGGATTAGAATACCCTATAGAGGACTCCAAGACAACAAGAGGATGTGTTTTAAACATCGATAGAGAAGCTATGTCTTGGAAGTCTAAGAAGTAAACGATCCTGGCTCAATCAACTAAGAAATCGGAAATGATAGAACTAGCAATGGCTAGTAAAGAGGAAAGTTGATTGAGAGGGTCACTACTAGAGATTCCCTTATGGGAAAGACCGATCCGTCCGGTAGTTGATTAATTGTGATAGCACCGCAGCTATTGTAAAAGAAGGGAACTGGTTCTAGAACGAAAAGAGATGACAAATTCGTCGTAAGCACATTACTGTAAGAGAACTCCTAACGATGGGAGCAATGATGGTGGATCCTGTAAGGTCCTAACAGAATCTAGTTGATCCTTTGACGAAAGGATTATCTAGAGAGAAAGTCCAAAATACTGCCAAGGGTATAGGAATTATGCCTACCGAACCACGAACTACAAGTGATGGTAACCCGACCCAATAGACTGGAGATCCCAAGAAATGGGTTCAATGGGTAATAACAAGTCATGAGTAGTATGCGAAAAGTTCATGCATAGTGAAACATGAATCCCAAAGCCTTGTAGGTTGAGTTAAACTCTTAATGAGATCTATACTCTATGTGCAGTGAAGTACTTTACTTTGGGGGGTACTTCTGATAGACTCACCTATGTGAATGTGGGAGTGGGGCCGCTCCCTATGGAACTTTGGAGGCACAAAGTTGCTAGAGTGTTCACTAAACCGGGATAACGTGCATGGCCATAAACGCACGGCCTATGAGAGAATATCACTCAATGAAAAGATCCGGTGTGCTACATTGTCTGAGATAGGGTTCAAGACTACGAGTCACCCTTATGAAATCGGAAGTGTAACCACTACGTTAAGGTTCAAATCTTCGCGATACCTTAGCTTATGCCCGATCTTATGGAACTGTTGATGCTCAAGATAGTTTCAAAACTATTCAAGTGGGGGATTGTTGGGATGAATAGCTTTGAAAAGCTATAAATGAAATTCCTAATTAATTATCCAGTATTTTCCCATAATACATAAATAAGATGGATAATTAATAAAAGGAATATTATGGAGATAATTAGGAATAATTATCTTAATAGATTATATTTTAATTATGGGAGTAATTATCTCCCTAATTAAAATTTGACTTATTCCCAAAGAAAGAGGGAATATTCTGGGTTTTCTGCTCCTATAAACAGGAGACGCCCCAGACCCTCTAAACACACCTCAGAAGAGCAGAAACACGAGAGAGAGTGAATTCATAGAGCTCCGGTTTTTCGCACAAAATCGATGAACAAGAAAATTAGAATGACTATTTTATCCTGGAGGCGACTGACTGATAATCTGTTGTGCGCAATACGAGGCAGTGCCGCGAACGTTTTAAAGAGAGCGACCTAGTCCGCGACTCAGCTAGATCGGTAACCCTAATTTTTCCTGTTCGATTTCTAAATAGTAGGAATTAAATATGATTTACGAGAATAAAGATCAGTGAAATACAAGAAAGCATCACTAGGAAAGGTAAGATATGGACGATTTAAAATGAGGTGGAATAGGATGACAACTTAGCCTGTATTCCATCTCACGTTTGTCCGATGAAACAGAAGCTCAAAACGAACTGGGATAGATGGGTGGCGCCCATGCGTAAGTTGCTCCAAACATGTGTCTGTTTGTATTGAGGGCCAGCCACCTCGCTAGCAGTTGCAGGATCCTACCTAACACCTGCAGTCATTCATCTGCTCTGTCTGTGTACACTCATCATCAGCCTTGCACTGCCTCTCCTGCCACGAAAAATCGCTAGGCCGTTTGAATTCTGACCACTCTGGTTTCTGCAGCACTTGTGAGTTAGTTTTGACACCATTTCTTATCGTGGAAACACCGCAAGAGAGGTTGTATCTGAAAAGTCGGTGGCAGAGTATATTATGCTGAAACCATAGTTTAACCATAGTTCAATCGTTTCATGCCGGTAAAACTGTCTACCGATTTAGACCCCGGTATGTGACTTTCCTGGTCGGACTGCCAATACAATACGATTTTACAAATACGGATTTCTAGTTTGTGTACAAGTTAGTTCACCAGACAGTGAAACCAGTTAATGCAAGCACCAAGAGAATAGAGGAAAAAATCCCAAGTTACACATGTTTTTAAAAAAAATTCTCAAAATACACACGCTATGAAAATAATTCTCAATCTACGTTAGTTTGGGCCATCACCGCTGTCGACGAAGACAGTGATTGCATCACTGTTGTCGACGAAGACAGTGATTGCATCACCGCTGTCGACGAAGACAGTGATTGCATCACCGCTGTCGACGAAGACAGTGATTGCATCACTGCAGTACACGACCGCGGTGAAGGCCTGACCTGCGTCGAAACTTTAAACAAACGTAACTTTGTGCTCGGTTATACAATCGTAGCGAAATTTTTTTTGATTCCGCATAATTTTTCGAGATCTTGCAAGCCGCAAATTGCCGTAGGCGGTTTGGTCCCGCCTTCGTCTCGAAAATATGTCGTTTGCTACCCAGAACGAGCCTTTTTTCGATTTCGTCAAACTTTGAACTACCATAACTTTGTGCTCCACAATCCGAAAATCATGAATTTTTTTTTTATTTCGCATAACTTTTTAAGGACTACAATTTTTATCATAGACATATTTTCGGAATGTACTTGCATTCCTGAAAAGGAAGGTAAAGTTATTCCCAAAACCCCTTATATCCATAAATAATTCATTTTTTGAAAATTCTCTCCTACTAAATATTGTAGTCCTTAAAAAGTTATGCGAAATAAAAAAAAAATCATGATTTTCGGATTGTGGAGCACAAAGTTATGGTCATTCAAAGTTTGACGAAATCGAAAAAGGCTCGTTCGGGGTAGCAAATGACATATTTTCGAGACGAAGGCGGGACCAAACCGCCTACGGCAATTTGCGGCTTGCAAGATCTCGAAAAATTATGCGGAATCAAAAAAAATTTCGCTACAATCGGATAACCGAGCACAAAGTTACGTTTGTTTAAAGTTTCGATGCAGGTCAGGCCTTCACCGCGGCCGTGTACTGCAGTGATGCAATCACTGTCTTCGTCGACAGCGGTGATGCAATCATTGTCTTCGTCGACAGCGGTGATGCAATCACTGTCTTCGTCGACAACAGTGATGCAATCACTGTCTTCGTCGACAGCGGTGATGGCCCAAACTAACGTAGATTGGGAATTATTTTCATAACTTGTGTATATTGAGAATTTTTTTTAAAAACATGTGTAACTTGGGATTTTTTCCGAGAATAGACAAAAAGTCCACAACTTCTCTGTTCTTTTCTGTCCTTTCGGTTTCAGCATTAATCATGAAACAATGCAACAACTACTTACTACCTTAAACGTCTGTATTTTCTTCTTTTTTTTAACTGCTTTTACAATTGCCTCAATTATACGTATACTTCAAGGAAGAGAGAGGAACAAATTTTCTCTTTAGGCCTCTTTATTGGTTGTGTTTTTTGGTTGAGTAGTAGCTAGTGACCAGTGCATTGCAATGTAGTCAAATGTGCATTTTTAAGCGTAAACGGAAATATGAGTAAAAGCGTAATGCTGCCACCACGAGGATTCAATATTAACCCCAGACGCTCAGGAGGTAGAGAGTCGGTGGTCGTTGAGACGTTAATACAGGAAGAAAAAGGCGTCGATTTAGCTGCTGATCAGCAATTTCAGATGTTGTTCAGAGGCGTACAAAAAACGTACGTTTTATTGCATTCTTTGACGTTTTTTGCACACAAAACGTTTTTATGTAGAAACTGATGGGTTTGGCTGGCCTGGTCTAAAACGTAAAAAAACGTACGTTTTTACATTTTATGACATCGTTTTTAAACTACATTGGTGAGGTGGAGTGAGAGTCTCACTCTCCTTCATCAGTTGGACTTGGGCTTGGAGAATGTGAAGATCTCAGGGTCTGACTGATAGAAGACAACCTCCCCTGTGTCGCTGACATAGTGATCTTCTCCAAGGGATCTCACCAAGTAGCCGAACAGATGCCACGGGAATGCCCCTGACTTCTTTGGCTCTCTGTAGTACTTCCCCAGCACCGGCTTCGCTGCCTTTGTCTGAAACAGTGCATGTAAGAAACCAGTAAACAAAAACCCACCAAGAATTTACTGTTCACAAATCACTGCAGTAACAATGTCTTTTTTTTTTTTACCGCTTCTATGAGGTGGTAGTGTGGGATCTGAGGGAAGAGGTGGTGAATGACATGGGTGCCAATGTCGTGGTGGATGTTGTTGATGATCCCGTAGTCTCGATCAACGGTTGTGAGCCCTCCACGCAGGTAGCTCCACTCTTTCCCTCGGTACCATGGCAGCTTCTGCTCGTACCCGTGGTGGTGAAGGTATGTCACCATGTCCAGCCATGCCACAAATATCTGCAACCACCATTTTGTTACAGGACAAGAGAGACAAAACAACAAAGCCAGAGAAAAAAACCCCCAATTCAATATGATGAGACGTATGAAATCTCAATGCTTACAAAAGCATAATACAAAACACCTCTAATAGTCAAGCTTAACAATAATGCATCATCCAGGCGGCTGGCAGACAAGACAGTTCAACTTGCTTGCTGCTTGCTGTAAAAAGTGGTAAGAAAGAAGAAGGGAGGGTAGAGGAGAATAACTTACGAGGTAAGGGAGGCCATAGATCTTGAGGACAGGGAGGAAGCCAAAGAGAAAAGAGGAGTAGAGGAGGAGTAGGACCATGGATGTCCAGCAGAGGGTGGAAATTAAGACGGCTTGCCTCTCATGTGGGGCGAACAAGTCACTGTAGGGATTGAAATGGGACCCTTTCTTCCCTGGGCTTCTTGTCCACTGCACCATTCACTCAAATTCGTTGGTTTCAAATCTAAAAATGCAATCCATAAACCCACCATAGCTACACAATAAAAGGTTGGTTTGCTTACCAAGTAGACAGGGTAAGCGAACATCGGGAGAGGGATAGTGAACCTCATGAACTTGGTGCTTGTGTCCAGCTCCTTGTACACTTTCTCTGGCAGCTGCAATATTTCCATCCCAAATGAGAAACCATTCGTCAAGAGAGTTACAGTTACGTACATGAACATTGATTCATTCCAAGGCATCCATCAGAGTCATAAAACAGAGGAAGTAGGATGAAGGGAAGGTGTGAAGGAACTTGCCGGAACCCAGGATTCATCTTTCTCAACATTGCCATGGTTCTGGTGGTGGGTCTTGTGGCTGATTCTCCTGTTCCAATTAAAAAATAATGAAACTTCAGATTCAGCTGGGGCAGCCAGAGAAATTAACAAAAAAAGATGAAAGGGTTAAGCCTGGTATTCAGATTTCAGTGGCGTGCATGTACCATCCGTGGTAAGGTACAAGGATTGAGGAATGCAGGATATGTCCAACCACATTGTTCAGCATCCTGCTATCCGAGAAACTCCCATGTCCGCTGCAATCAACCAAAACAAAATTCAATCCCCAATACACACGAATGCCAGACTACAAATTGAACCAGTACCCAGATAATAAAAAAACAAACAAGTTTAGGGATTTGAGTCTATGAAGAACAACCAATCCAATCCAATCCAATTCAATCTGAGGGTGCATGTACAAAACAAAACAGAACAATGGTGGCTGAATGTCATGAATTACCAATCGTGCCCGAGGACGAAGATTGCCCAGAACATGGTCCCCTGAGCGACCCAGTAGAGCGGCCAGAGAGCCCAATTGTCGAGCTTCGCGGCGGCGAAGGCGAAGCCGAGCACGACGATGGCGTCCCTGAGGACGTAGCTCATCGACCTCCATGGGTTCTTGACCCAGCAATGCGGCGGGATTGCAGCGCGGATGTCGGCAATCTTGAAGGGAGGAGCCTCGCTGGGATCGAAATCCACCCTGCCCCCATTCATCAACACGCCATTGCCGTCGCCATTGGCATTAGCCATGGAGTTAGGAGGGCTCATCGTGGCGCTGGAAGTGGTGGCGTGGTCGAGAGCCACAGTTTTGAAAGTGAGTCACTGTATTCTGCAGCAGAGGCCAATTCCCCCCTCTCAGCCCCCAATATTTATATCCGAATATACCAATGCAGCAAAACGAAAATAAATAAATAAATAAATTGGGCTGGCTGAGTAGGGTTTGGGGAAGGCAAATTAGTAAATAATAACACACACAAAAAAATAACAAACAAACAAAGGGAAAAAAGAGGGGGTTGTTATTTCTGTTTTGATAATTTAAGTTGAACAGTAAATGAAATGCACATGGACCAAATTCAGACAACACCACAGCTTAATAAAGCGGCTCGTGTTGGTGTTGTCTCAATTCGAGGCTTTTCCCCCCTTTTGGGTACTGAAATGCTGCCCAAATCTAGGGTTAGACAAATTACGACTTACCTTCTTCTCTGTGTTTTTGACTTTTTGTTCTCCTTTCCTTTGTCTAATTAATATTGCAACTTGCAATTTCTTGAGTCCAAGATTTGGCCGGCTTGGGTACCGTAAGGGGGCAGATTGAGTTGACCTTTACCAAATGTGGAGGCGGCCAATAATTTTGTTAGGCAGCAAACTCTTATTGATAACTCTTGAGGATATCAAATGCCCGTTTTCAAGTTCGGTTCGTGCTACTGTTATGTTTCGGTATATTTCGTGTATGTGTTTTTATCGCTACGTGTCATGTCAGGTTGTCACGTTTAGTTTTTCATTCGTTCTATTGTTATTGTTTTCAATGTTTACAAATATCTATATTCTTTTTCTGACTGCATGATGGCTACATGGGAAGACTAACAAAGCTCCCAATTCGAACTTTAGCAGTTTATTACAAATTTCTTTTGTAAAAAATAACACACATTTGTTGTGTTAAATTTTTATCTTTTACTTTTTTATATATAAAACTATAATTTATATGTTCAAAATTTTACTCCTCGGCTATATAAATCAAAAGCACGTATAGTTATTTTATTCATTTTGTAACTCCCACTGTTCCACATGTTTCTTTAAATACCCTAATTTCAAAGATGGAAATCGATATACTATTGATATCGCAATATCAAACAGCAAAATTGTAAATAATGACAACAATTAATTTCAATCCAAGAATAAATTTGGCATTCCAATCGCAAAATATTTATGTATAATATTGGTATTTACGAATAACAAATTTATAATTAAATATATAAATACATAATGGTTCAAACATTCACTAATTTTGAGCTTTTTATATGGTGTAGGATTGTAGAATTAATTTTTTAATATTAAAAATATTGGTAATGAGAAGTTGACGGTGAGAAATTTCTAATATAAAAGTGCTGATCAAAGCATGTATTGAATAAACCAATCAAATTATTCATCAAACATATTTATTCACAAGTTATGATTGTGGGCTGAGAGACTAGGCAAAGGGTTTGAGTTTGAATAAAACTAAAACATAGCAGGGAGGGGCAGGCCTAAGATCCCTAAAAAACGCCAATCTCGCTATGCTAGCCAAGAGTGGGTGACGACTGATTAAGGAGAAGGATAGCCTTTGGATCCAGCTAATGGTGGCGAAGTATGGTCGACAACGAGAAAATCTCGAGATGATTCGACCAATTCAGGGAAGTTCCTTTACGTGGAGAAGCTTGTCCAAAGCTTCTAACCTTCTTCGGAAGAGTTGCGCCTGGAATATTAAGAATGGTAAGCATACTAAGTTCTGGTTGGATACTTGGATTTTGCAGGTTCCTCATAGGGACGTTGCTATCGGCCCCGTCCCGGAGTCGATAGAAGCTGAGCCGATTGCTTCTTTTGTGGAGAGCTTGGCGGACGGATTTGTTCATGGATCTCCTTTCGAGCGATATTTTTCAGAAGATTCTCAGCATTGGGGTTGACAAGATGGCTTCGGAAGAGGACACCATTTTCTGGTCAGTCTCGTCGGATGGGAGATTTTCGGCTAAGTCTGCGTACTCCCTTCTGAACCAGCGACCGGCAGACCCAGACGAGAAGCTGTGGAAGATCATTTGGAGCCTTCCGGTGCCGGAAAGAATCAGGAGCTTCATGTGGATGACGACGTTGGTGAAATTGGCCACTAAGGCGCTTCTCTTCTCCAGGAAAGTGACAAACAACCAGTGTTGTCTTCGTTGCGGTGACCAGGTGGAGTCCATTCTCCACATCCTCCGGGACTGCCCCCCTGCTAGGTATGTCTGGCTTCGGCACATCCTGACGACTCTGCAGCAACACTTTTTCAGTCTGGATCAGAGCAGCTGGCTGCGAGATAATCGTAAGAGTAGCGAGTGTTGGACTCGGGCATGAGTTGGCGGCTTTCTTCAGCGTTTCCTCCTGGCTGATTTGGAAGAACAGATGCACTTCATGTTTTAGAGGTCTGAACTCAACTCTCTCTCCTCCCTCCCTTGAGTTCTCGATTGTGGCTAAGTGCAGACTTTGGCATGAGGCTTGGCAAGCTCCTTCTCCACTTCCCAACCTCAGAGGTCAGATGGTGCCCGGACTATGGCCATGATTGGTTGGACTCCTCCGGCTAATGGATGGTTAGCTCTTAACGTTGATGGGGCCTCCAACGGCAATCCCATAGCGGCTGGAGCGGGAGGAGTCCTTCGTGATTGGACTGGCAAGTGGGTCTCTGGTTTCACTGCGAATATTGGGACAGCGACCGCCGCCCTGGCTAAGCTGTGGGCAATCTTCCATGGACTTGATCTGGCTTGGAGATTGGGATGTCGGGCTGTCCGACTTGAGTCTGATTCCCAGCTAGCGATCCAACTTATCAACAACTGTCAAGACCCTGTTCACCCTCATGCGACTTTGCTTTCTGCGATCCGTAGGAAGATTAGTCAAGATTGGCTAGTGAGCATTTCTCATATATATCGGGAAGGGAATTGTGTCGCGGACTGGCTCTCGAAGCACAATCTCGTCTATCCCTACGGTATGCATGAATTTGCAAACCCGCCCCCTAGACTAATTTCCCTTATTAGAGAAGACGCCATGGGCATTACTTTCGAGCGTCGGGTTGTGACGCCTTCCCACTCTACTTCTTAGCTCTCTCCCTGTACTCCTGCTCTCGGCTTTTTCCTCCCTTTTCGCAAAAAAAAAAAAAACTAAAACAGAGGCAAGGAGAAGTGACGAGATGGTAATATATCAATTTATTGCGCTTGGTAGTCTTCAATTCGATGATTGGAGACTAAGAGAGCTAGAGATAACTTGCGAGATTGTTCGCTATTTGGTTTTTTCAAAATAACAAGAAATTGAATGAGAGACCAGAGTTGTAAGAAGTGTAATTTGTGTGTTTGTATTGATGTATAGAAGGGGTATTTATACCCACTGGAGTACAGGTTTACAAGTATGATACATATATACAATTATACATGGACACGAAAACTAAGGTATGCTAAATAGTAAATACTACACGGATAAAGTCTAATCCCTAATATGCCCCGTAAGAGGGAGAGTGGTTTGGTGAGCGTAACAAGTGAACCCTAGTAGTCGAGAGTGGTTTGGTGAGTGCATCGGCAAGTTGCGAGACAATAGGCAAGTGGCGCATGTGAAGTTGCCGAGTTTGGATAAGCTGGCGCACAAAATGATAGTCCAACGCAAGTTGTTTTATGCGGGAGTGGAACACAGGATTCGAGCTGAAATTGACGGCACCCTAGTTGTCCCAGATGTGCAAAGAGCAATGGCCTGGTACTCAACTTCAGCACTAGACCGTGCAGCTGTCCGCTATTTTGTGGATTTCTTGGAGATCAACATGCCGCCAAGATAAATGAGAAAGCAAACGTGGTGGTGCGGTCATAAGGGCCACCAGCCCAGCCTGATTCGGAGAAAACACAAAGTGTTAGTAGAGAAGACTGGTGGCAAATGTAGATGGTGAGAGAGCGAGTACTAGCCAAGTACAAGAGTAGTCGTTTAACATGTTGTCAGTGAAGTGACATGGGAGCATTCATGTATTGTGACATTTTGTTGACAGCGGAGGCCACATCAGGACGAGTTGTAAGAAGATACTGGAGAACACCAAGAGCCTGTCGATAGAGAGTACCATCAGCCCATCAGCAACAACCGACCCATCCCGTAGAAGAAGATGAGTCGTAGAGGCCAGAGAAGTGGACGATGACTTGGCCTCATGCATTTGAAACCGAGTAAGAATGTCCTAAATGTACTTGTGCTTCAAGAGAATATAGCATGTGGAAGTAGGGATGACTTCAATGCCTAAGAAATAATTGACCTGGCCAAGATGCTTTTGAGCAAACCGGGCGGACAACTGATCCTGAAATTGGTGTTAGAACTCAGAGTTTTTGCCGGTAAGAAGAAGGTCATCCACGTATATCAAGAAGTAAGCAAACACACCAACACAATGATACACAAATAGAGAAGCTTCCGAGTGAGTCTATGTAAACCCACACTGAACAAGGAAAGAGCTCAGTTCATCATACCAAGTGCGCGGTGCTTGACGCAAGCCATAGATAGCTTGACGTAGACGACACACATGATTGGGAAACTGAAGATTACGTAAGCCCGGAGGTTGAGCCTCCTCATGAAGATGAACCTGAAGAAATGCATTGTTCACGTCAATATGATATATCGTCCAATTGTGGAAGAGAGCTAACGTGAACACGGTGCGGACCGTGACGGGCTTGAGAATGAGACTAAATATTTCATGAAAGTCAACATCTGGGCGCTGAGGGAACCCTTCAGCAACTAGTCGAGTCTTGAAGCGCTCAATGCTACCATCAGGTCAAAATTTGATTCGATAGTCACCGATTACCAATAAAGTTGTAGTGAGGTAAACCAAACTCTGATACCATGTAATGAATGTAAACTGTGTTTGTTTTGATGTATAGAAGGGGTATTTATACCCACTAGAGTACAGGTTTACAGGTATGATACGAAAATACAATTATACATGGACAAGGAAACTAAGGTAAACTAATTACTATACGTAATTCCTAATAAGAGTGACCTAGGAGAGTTGGAAAGTTTGCAAGCTGTCAAAGTGTCTGGAAGGACTGGCGGTTGTGGGCTATGCTTATTTAATTGTATTTTTTTATATTTATCGATATTTTGGTACATACCGAG